AAACCACTGGACATGATGTTGATATCCATGATCTCTGTTTCTACAGGTGATCATGTTAATGTAGACTTTATTGTTGCAAATGTATTGAGTGGTAATTCACATAATTTAACCAACTTTTGATAACTGAGTTGGTACACATAATTCATACTAGTACCTGCAGCCATGCTGATGTCATTGATCACTGATGCCTTTGCAAACCCTGCTGATATTAATGAATGGCGCTCCCCTGCATTTCTATTGTTTCTGTAAGCCATGTTGATGCAGGTGTTCTTTATATCATGGGTTAACATCATGATTGCCATTAATTCTCCAGCCCCTTATGGCCATATTCAGGCAAGTGTTTCTTTTTGGACATGCGTAGAATGGTAATTTCCAAGATTTAACAAGCATTTGTAACTAAGCAGATATCCATAATTCATCATGCCATTACAAACATGCTGATGTCATTGATCTCTGTTGCAACTTTTAACCCTGTTGATATCTATGAATGCACCTCCAATGCATTCCTGTTGTTTCTGTGAGCCACGTTGATGAATGTAGTCCTTGTTACCATGAGATAACATTTTGATTGCCATGACCTCTCTGGCCCTTTATGTTCATATGGATGGAAGTATTCTGTGTTACCAACACAGAGAATGTAAATTTCCAAAAATTCAAATACCAACTGAACCTAAGTTGGTATCCAGAATATTTGCTGTCACCTCCAAACAATTTGAATTCTCTCATCCCTGCTCCATCTCTTAAACATGTGGATGTCCATGAGCAGACATACAATGCTATTTCTACTATTTCTGGAAGCCACAATGATGCAAGGATTCTTTCTTGCCCATGTATGTGATGTTGATGTCTATCTGTCCTTCTACTGGAAATCATGTTGATGGTATATCCATCATGAAGAAAGTTAATTTCTCTCATCTCAACTACCAAAGTAAACTGTGTGGCTATTCATTCTATATTTTACCACCTGAAATACTGTGGATATAATACATCCCTATTGCTTCTGTTAATTATATGGATGTCCATGATTGGAGGCACAATACCATTCTTACTACTCCAGAAGCAATATTGATTCTCATTATCTTCTTTCCACTGGGTACCATATTCATTTCTATAATCTCTCCTGCTACAAGTCACCACCGTAAGGTAAGTGTTTGTTGTTGCCAATGTATAGAATGATAATTTCCAAGATTTAACCAGCTTTTGATTCACATTATTCATGCTGCCACCTGCCACCATGCTGATGTCATTGATCACTACTGCAATTGCAAACCCTGTTGATATTAATGAATGGAGCTCCCATGCATTCCTATTAGTTCTGTAAGCCATGTCGTTGCATGTGGTCATTTTTACCAAGGGACAACAGCTTGATTGCTATGAATTCTCCATCCCCTTAACACATTATTTATGTAAGAGTTCTGTTTTGCCAATATGAATAATGTAATTTTCAAGATTCGAAATACTAACAGAAACTGGGTTAATATCTTGAATTCATGCTGCTACCTCCAAACAATTTGAGTTCATTAATTCTAGCTGAGTCTATTATAAATGTGCATGTCCATGATTGGAACTACAATGCTATCCATACCTATGCTTCTTGGAAGCAATATTGATGCTCCTGATCTTCTTACCACTGGACACAATGGTGACTTCCCTGATTTCTCCTGCTTCAAGTGACTATGTTAAGGTAAGTGTACCTTTTTGGCAATATATAGAATGGTAATTACTGAGATTTAATGAACCTTTGGTGACGTAGCTGATACTTGTAATTCATGCTGCCACCTGCACCCATGATGATGTCATTGACTCCTGCTGCCTCTGTTAACCTTGTTGATGTCTATGAAAGGACCTGATAGGAATTCCTAATGTTTTGCTAAGCCATGTTGATGCATTTATTCCTTGTTACCATGTCATAACATCTTGATTGCCATGACTTCTCTGGACACCTATGACCATATTGATGTATATGTTCTGTGTTGCCAACATAAAGAATGTAAATTTCCAAGAAGAAAAATACCAACAGAAACTAAGTTGACATTTGGAATAATTGTCACATCCAACCAAGATGAATTCATTTATCCCTTTCGCAACTGTTAAACATGCAGATGTCCATGAGAAGACATACCATGCTATTCCTACTATTTCTGGAAGCTATGTTGATGCCAGGATTCTTTCTTGCCCATGGATCTGATATTGATGTCCATATGTCCTCCTACCTGAGGCCATGTTGATGCAAGTGTTCTGTCTTTTCAACAAAAAGGAATGTTATTTCCCTAGCTTCAACTCCCATAGTATACTATGTGGCTATCCATTCCACATTCTACCACCTGAAATCTTGTGGATTTAATTGTTCTGTGTTGCTTCCAATGCCCATATGGATGTCCGTGATTGGAACTATAATGCTTTTCCTACTACATCTGGTAGCAGTGTTGATGCTCAATGTCCTGTAAACCACTGGACACCATGTCAATTTTCGTGATATCTGTTGCTACAGGTGATGATGGTAATGTAAGTGCTATTTGTTGCCAATGTATAGAATGAAAATTTCCAAGATTTAACCAAATTTTGTTAACTAGTTGATACACATAATTCATGCTGCCACCTGCAGTCATGCTGATATCATTGATCACTGCTTCCTTTGCAAACCCCAGTTATATTAATGAATGGAAATCCCTTTCATTCCTATTGGTTCTGTAAGCCTTGTTGATGCAGGTGGTCCTTTATACCATGAGTTAATATCTTGATTGCCATAAATTCTCAAGCCCCTTATGGCCATATTAAGGCAAGGGTTTTTGTTTGGCAATGTGTAAAGTGGTAATCTTCAAGATTTAATAAGAATTGGCAACTAAGCAGATATCCCTAATTCATGCTACCATCTCATACCATGCTGATATCATTGACACCCGTTGCCACTATTAAAAATGTTGCTGTCTATGAATGCACCTCCAATGCATTCCTATTGGTTCTGTAAGCCATGTTGATGCATGTGGTCATTATTACTGTGGGATAACACCTTGATTGCTTGAATTCTCCATCCCCTTATCACCATATTGATGGAAGTGTTCTGTGTTGCCCATATGAAGAATGTAGTATCCCAGAATTGAAATACTATCAGAAACTAAGTTAATATCCTGAATACATGCTGCTAACACCAAACAAGTTGAGGTCTTTAAACCCAGCTGAGTCTCTTAAACATATGCATGTCCATGATTGGAACTACAATGTTATTCCTACTCCTTCTGGAAGCAATGTTGATGCTCATGATCTTCTAACCACTGGACACCATGGTGACTTCCAAGATCTCTCCTGATATAAGTGACCGTATTAAGGTAAGTGTACATTTATGGCAATATATACAATGATAATTTCAGGGTGATTTAATGAACTTTTGTTACCTAGGCTAATATCTGTATTTCATGCTGCCACCTGTACCCATGCTGATGTCTTTGACTGCTGCTGCCTCTGTTAACCTTGTTGATGTCTATGAAATGGCCTGGCAGGAATTCCTATTGTTTCTGTAAGCCATGTTGATGCATATGATTCTTGTTACCGAGGGATTGCATCTTGATTGCCATGACCTCTCTGGCCCTATATGACCATATTAATGTAAGTGTTTTGTATTGCCAACATAAAGAATGTAAATTCCGAAAAACAAAAATACCAACAGAATCTAAGTTGATATCCGGAATACTTGCTGTAACCTCCAAACGATTTGAATTCATTCATCCTTGCTGCATCTTTTAACCATGTGAATATCTATGAGCAGATATATCATGCTATTCCTACTATTTCTGGAAGTCACATTGATGCCAGGCTTTTCTCTTGCCCATGGGTCTAATATTTATGTCTGTTTGTCCTACTACCTGAGAACATATTGATGCAAGAGTTCTGTCTTTCCAACATGAAGAATGTTAATTTCCCTGATCTCAACTACCATAGTAAACTATGTGGCTATCCATTCTATGTGCTGCCACATGATACCTTGTGCATTTACTTGATCCCTGCTC